ATAAAAATTATTTAAAGATAAGTTTAAAAGATTCTAACCGTTTTCTATATAATATATAATTTCCATTATTACTCTTTTAATTTTAATTTTTTTTGAATCTTTTTAAATTTTAATTTTAATTTTAAAAATCTTTTAATTTTATTTTTTATCACAATATGTGGTTATTGAGTTGTTCTTGCGTTTTCGTAAATTACAGTGGTTCTCGTTTGAACCCTTCCCTATATATATATATATATATATATATATATATATATATAGGGGTAAGATCAAATGTTAACCAAAGTTTTTGTGTTAACTTTGTTTTTAGATCTTGGCCATTCAATCTTTCAATAAACGGTTGTGATTAATCATGATAAAAACTTATTATTTTAAATTTAAAATTGCATAAAGATAAGTGAACAATGTTGAAAATGATATTTAGGTAAAAAAAATGTATGTAACTCCCATATCATTAATTAATTGGGAGTTACAAAATGAGAAAAATATCCGTCATTAACGGAATTCTTGTATGGCCAGTAGAGGGAGGGACCAAAATAGAGACATTTTTTACAAACCATGATGAGCATCTTGTAATTTCAAAACTGTATGAACGAAAACTGTTATTTTTGACAAACCACAAGGACCAAATTTATAGTTTACTCTTAGATATAAAATCGTGTGTCTTATAGTGTCATAACTGAACATGAGAAATTAAGGACCGCACTTGACCAATTATTGAGGTAGGTCCTGAAAAGTCCAAAAAAAGTTGTCATGTTATTGATTCTCTCTCAGGTAATAAACGTTGTCACAATTTCACCTAACACTTTCCAAAAAAAATTGTATACGTCATCATATTTATTCATCTTAATTACGAAATTTACATCTAAATTATATAATTAGCACTCATTTGAATGATATTATGTCATTAACGTATTTAACACATTTAAATCCTATTAAAATACATCAATTGAGAGGCGTGAGGATTGATTTGGTAAGGATTGATTGAGAGAAATGATCGGTTAAGGTTAATCAATTGAGAAACACCGTTGTTGAGGGTTTGAAGAACAATAAGAGGCAAATAAGATGTTGGTTTACCTCTTACCAGATAAGAGTACGATAAAACATAAGTGCCCATGAAAAATTGGAAAAAACAAACGGCCTGAATGACCTTACCTCTTAACGAATCAGATATAAGAAGCTAATAAGAGCTTTTTTATATAAAAACAAACAAAGCCTAAGTATCTAAACTATCTTTTGAACCAATAAATCTTTAAACTTTCTGAAATAAATCATTGAACTTGTTTAAACCAACGAAATTTCATATTCATGTGATTAGGTGCTTGACGGAATAAATCCTTACACTTATAAAACGACATGTATCAACAAATCAACGAAAATATACAACAAACCAATAATATTGAAAATATGCACTATTTTTTGTTAACCCTTATTTACTTCATATTTAAATAGCAATTACAGGTGTTTGTTAATGATCTGATTATTGTTATTTGAATCTGAAAAATAAATAGTTATTAGTTTCTCTTATGTTTCTCGTTCGAATATGAAAAATAAATAAAAGTTAATAAAAATGGTATTTAATCATTTTTTTTATTAATTTATTGTATTTTATTATTAATCTATATATTAATTTCGTTTTATAGGTATAAAGACTTGGTTCAAAAAATATTTAGAAACTTAGGGGCTGTTTATTAAACGCTTGCCCGGTAGGTGTTTATCGGACAATTTTCCTCACTGGACGAACATGGCAAGACACAGGAATCTTATCAGGTAAAAGCGATGATAAGGATAGAGAGTCTTACCCAGTAAGTAAGAGTGACGACTCTTATCCGGATAAGCGTTTACAATATATATTGTTGCACACGATACCATTTTGATATGCTACAACCTTACCTAAAAAATAAATTATAGTGTTGACTCATAACAGTGAGCGTTTACCGGGGTAAGTATTTAGGTAAACAACCCTTAATTATTTAAAATAAAAAAAATTTATTGGGTTTTTTATTTTAAAAAGTTTAAGAATTTATTTATTCGACTCTAGAAATATTAAACATTAATTTATAAAAAAATAGTTTAAAAAAATTAATCAATAAAAAAACATGTATGAACACAATATGAACACTTGTGAACACATTATGAACGAGTGATGAACATGAACAATAGTACCGTAGAAATATCGTAGAAATATGAACACAGTATGAACGAGTGATGAACATGAACACTTGTAAACAATAGTACCGTAGAAATATCGTAGAAATAGTATGAATACAGTATGAACGAGTGATGAACATGAACAAGCCACATAGTGAGAGATTATCGTAGAAATAGTATGAACACATAATATATATGCTATGAACACCTATCAATACAAGATGAAATATAAAAAACACAACACATTGTAATGAACATAATTCGTTTTTCTGATAAAAATATTAATCTATTACCAAGTTCAATGATTTATTTCAGAAAGTTTAAAGATTTATTGGTTCAAAATAATTAACTTGCTGACTCATTACCCACTAACACGACGTCAAAATGTTTTGTTTTAATTCTTTTTTCTTAAACTTATTATAGTAATATGCAATCCGTATCCAAAATCTTTTATTTACTTGTCAATTACCCACATAAATATTCACCCAAACACTTGCAAGTAATTTCGGATCACTTTCTTCCCCTAACCTTATTGGATTAAAAATGGTGGAACCGTTGTTTCAGTCAGGGACGGACTCAGAAGGGTGGTTGGGGTGGCACGTGCCACCGTATTGTTCCTCCGTGTAAGATAAAAAATAGGTTTGTGAAAAGTGCAATCGTTTTATTCTAGAAGGTGCAACCGTTTTATATGTTGTCACTGTATCAAAAAAATTCTTGGGTCCGTCGCTGGTTTCAGTAATATAATTGGTGGAAATTGAACTGTTGTTCAATGCCATATTACCATGTGTATATCTACAGGTCCACTTCAATAAGAAGTTGACCTTGTAAACGATGACTCAAAAGGTCACCATTCAATTCATTATGAAAAAGTAGCTAAGTATTTAAAATACAACTTGATTCCCCTCAAAGTAAAAGCAAGGTTGGTTGAATCAATGGTCATGATTCATTCTCTTCTCTTTTTGATTTAGATCCACACAATACCAACTCAAGTTATCGGTGGATTTTGATTACCCGGTAAGAATGATGCAATGACCGAGAGTCTTATCTGGTAAGAGAGGAATTGGTTCTTACCATGATTTGCGCTTACCGGGAAAATTGTTGCATAAGATACCGTTTTCTTGACTAAAATCCTACATGTTAAGTAAATGATAGTGTTGAATTTTATCGGTAAACAACCCTACTATTATAAGACGAAGAAATCATAAGTTAATATAATAAAAAGTAAAAAAATAATCAAAACTTTATGATATATTAATTATTTTTGACCGTGCAATATGCATGAATTCCCATTCTTTTTTTTTTATATCTCTTAATCCATACTCCAAGAAGGTTCTAGGTTCATATTTCATAAATGTGTTTTCTATATTCACCCCCTCATATTTCTTCTCTTGCTTTTTTCATACTCCTGCTTAAGACGATAAAAAATATTAAAATAAATTTATTTTATTTTATTTTTCAATTTAACCTTTGATATATTTAATTTTAATCTTTTCAATTTTTTAAATATTTTTTATTATATTCTTTACGTTTTATTATTTTTAAAAAAGTAAGGGATGTAAAAAAACAAATTAATTAACAATACATATATAAACTGTAATTTTAAAATTAAAAAATATTATGTGAGAATACCATGTGTGTAAAGAGATAGACGCTTTTGTGTTATCCCTCTTTTTTACTTTCTTTCTTCCTTCCTTCACGGTTATCCCTTCCCTTCTCTCTCTCTCTTTAATTTCCCAAGACAAACAACCATCTCCTCTTCTGTTTTCTTCGTTAGAAGCCTTATTTCATTTTCTTCATTTTGGGAGACTGTAGAGCGGCAATGTCGTCTCTAAGTAGACACTTGTGTTATTGATGAAGAAATCCATCTTTTATCCCTTTTTCTCTATCTTCTTCTTCTTCTTCTTCTTCTTCTCCATCTTGAAGTGATCAAGAAATCCATCCTTCATTTTTCTCTCTCTTCTTCTGCTGTTAAGATTCTCATAAAGAAAGAAAGAAATACATATATATGAACAGTCATCGTAGAAAAAGTTGAAGGGGTTATGTTATGAGAAAGAAAACGGAAATGGAGGAGGTTGTGAAGAACAAGAACAAGTCTCTTCAACCACACAAGTAAAGGTTTATGTAAATAAGAAAGACATTCGAAATTTTTTAACGTACATCAACAAGAAGCTGGAAAAGAAGAAGAAAAGAAAAAGCAATTTTGACTTTACCCAAACTGATTTGGCTTTGAAGGATCTTTTCTGGAAAAGGAAGAGAAGAGAGAAAGAAGTCTGAACATTTGCCATCCAATGCATAAAAGCTTGTACCACATGTATGATGAGTTGTAATTAAGAGTTTTTTGAATTTCTTGCATAAAATGTTTGTAATCTATGCTTTAAGAGTTGTAATTAAGATAATGACCTAAATGGTTATATATGTAGTATAGATATATATAATTTATTAATTAAGATATATAACGGGTATGGGGCGGGGCGGGGAGTACAATACCCGTCCTCGTCCCCGGTATAAGATAAACGGGGATCCCTGTCCCTATCCCCAATTAGCAAAAAAGTCTGTCTCTTAATAATTTTAAAACTCTTTGAATGATTTTGTGTATTGGGTCTCCCTTAACCATTCAGTTTCTTAAATTTCATTGTAAACAATTACCAAACAATTATATTTCATTTTACGCTATATCATGAGAGCCTCTTAATTATTCTTAACACTTAATCATTATACGCCAAACAATTCATCAATCAACCCGGAAAAAAAAAAAAAAAAAACAAAACCCTAAGAAGACCTGAGACTAATTAGCTGGCTATAAAAGGAACTGAGATCCAGACACCATAACCGTACTAGCTTAGCCACCTACAATGGAAGATGTAGTGGTGATGTTCCCCTCTATTGGAATTGGCCACCTCATTTCAATGGTGCAGCTCGGAGAACTCATCCTCACCCACGACCCTTCACTCTCCATCACCATCCTCCTCACTCCTAAGCATTACGAAGCAGCCTCCGCCGCTAATTACATCAAAACCATCACCGGAACCACCCCTTCCATCAACTTCCACCATCTCCGACCCCTCCACCACCCTCCACCTGATTCTTCCATTCATTTCTTCGACMTTGTATATCAACTCATCAAGCAATACAGACCCGTCGTCAGAGACGCCCTCCAATCCATCTCGGAGAAATCAAACATCAAAGCTGTCATCCTTGATTTCATGTCGAATCATGCTTTTGAAGTCTGTAGAAGCCTCAACATACCCACCTACTACTTGTTCACCGGCAGCGCATTTGGCGCCGGCATAATGTTGTACCTCCGGACAGTGCTCGAGAAATTACCTGGGAGCTTGAAAGATCAGAAATTTTACATTGAAACTCCGGGAAATCCGCCGATTTGTTCTCTGGATATGCCGTCGACGATGCAGGATAAAGACACTGATTCTTACAAAAACTTAATCAGCACATCAGAAAATATGGCGAAATCCAGTGGTATCATTGTCAACACGTTTGCGGCTCTTGAGCCAAGGGTCATGAAAGCGCTCGCCGATGGGGAGTACATCCCAGACGGTCCAACTCCGCCAACTTACTACGTTGGCCCACTGATTAAAGTTGATACCGGTGACGATAAGTGTTTAGACTGGCTGAGTTCGCAACCGAGTAAAAGCGTGGTGGTTTTGATTTTTGGTAGCCTGGGGAAGTTGAAGAAGGATCAGCTGATAGAGATAGCGAAGGGGTTAGAGAAAAGTGGACAAAGATTTCTCTGGGTGGTCCGGAATCCACCGCCGGAAAATGAAGCAGGTCATGCCTTTGAGTTCAAAGATCCGGATCTCGACGACTTACTTCCGGCAGGGTTTTTAGACCGGACTAAAGAGATGGGGTTGGTGGTGAAAAACTGGGCACCACAAGGTGAAATACTGAGGCATGAGTCAGTGGGTGGGTTTGTCTGCCATTGTGGGTGGAACTCAGTTCTAGAAGCTATGCATGCCGGAGTACCATTGGTGGCATGGCCGTTGTATGCAGAACAAAGGATGAACAGGGTGCATCTAGTGGAGGGGATCAAGGTGGCTCTGAGGTTGAAGATGTCGGAGGAAGGGTTTGTGACGGCGGAGGAGTTGGCAGAGAGATTGAGGGAGTTGATGGAGGAAGAAAGTGGAAGGAAGATAAGAGATTATGTTTCGGATATTAGCGTAAGTGCTAAAGCAGCGGTGGTGAAAGGTGGTTCGTCCCGAGTTGCCGTGGCTGAGTTGGTCGAGTCATTGAAATCGGTGCGAGTTTAGTCAACACCGATCACTCGAATTTATTTAGATAAATAATCTTAAATTAGTTTTTAATTAAATACATTGCCTTCTGTCTATATAAAAAAATGAATTTATATTTATAAGAAGGTTATGAATTTAATTAAAATCTGATTTAAGATTATATACCTAAAAATGTTCGATGTTGGAGCCAATAATAAGTTTCATGGAGAAGGTGTGTGGGTTGGCTCTTTGTTTCATGGAGACGGACGTCCTCAAACCACAATTGCTCGATATTAATTAATTATTATTGTTGTTAGTTTATCATCTATTGTGTCAACTAAATATAATTAAATGCTTGTGGAATTATTATTAATTTTACTTTATTTTAATTATTTAGGACTGTTCGACTCATTTTCCATAAGATCTATATGAATAAAGTTGATAAAGTTGTCTGTATGATAACAGATAAGTTGTGGTTCGGTTATTGTGTTGAATAAACAGTCTGAATATTGGAAATGACCATTTTATTCCTTGTCTATATTTTAAACAGTTTGTATACGGTTAAAAATTTCAAATAAAACAATTAAAATACTAGATCCTGCACAAAAATTTCATCTAGAGATTAGAACTAAAACCATATACACAAACATTTCATCAAACACCTTATATACATAAAAATTTCATCCATAGATCATGTTGTTCTTACATAAACATAATACCAGATGTGTAGAATCATAGAACAAGAATTCGAAAGCTTCAACTTTATATCTGATAACAGGATTTACATCGGAGATCTAAAGCTTCAACTTTATATCTGCTTATCTAAAAGTTTCGATTGAACTTGGAGATCTAAAGCGAGATGTGAAGAAGGTCGAGGAAACTCAACAATCTAAACCTGATTTTGATGTTGATTTCAACCGTTTTATATGTTGTCACTGTATCAAAAAAATTATTGGGTCCGTTGCTGGTTTCAGTAATATAATTGGTGGAAATTGAACTGTTGTTCAATGCCATATTACCATGTGTATATCTACAGGTCCACTTCAATAAGAAGTTGA